AAGGGAGGGGTGCTGCAGGGGAGGGCATGCAGGGAGCGCAATGCACGGGAGGGGTGCTGCAGGCGAGGCGCTGCCACGGAGGGCTGCTGCAGCGGAGGGGTGCTGCAGGATGGCGTCCTGCAGGGAGGGCGCTGAAGGGAGGGGTGTGCAGGGGAGGTGGAGGGGTGCTGCGGAGGGCGCGCGTACAGGGGAGGGGCATGCGGGAGGCTGCTGCGGGAGGGGTGCTGCAGGGGAGGGGGCGCTGCAGGGGAGGGGGCTCTCACAGCCTTCAGCCAATGACAGAGAGACCCTGGCTGGAGAGCCCAGGGCAGTGGGGGAGGAGAGGGTGGCTGGTCTACCTGGAGGGCAGGGCCTCAACACAGCAGCAGGACTTTGTGAGTGGGAGGGGCAGGGGGACATTCTGCAGGGGTCACGGACTGAGAGGGACCGCACAGCACTGGTCTGTCCAGTCCGAGCCTGCCTGGGGAGGAGCCCGTGGAGGAGTCAGCTGGGGGCTCTGAGTGTGCATATTCTAGGATAGAAACAGAAACATCCACAGATGTCACTGAGGAGGAAAGTGCAGTGGGTGGCCCGGGTCTGCACAGAGCCAGAGAGGATCTGCCCCGCGCCCCCTCCACATTCTTCCAAAAGCGCCACGTCCCCCACAAATCCCTATGTCGAAGTCCTGCCCCTTAGTCCCTCAGAATGTGCCTGTGTTTGGAGACAGGGCCTCTATAGAGGGAATTAAGGCAAAGTGAGGTCACCAGGGTGCACCCTGATCCGAGGGGACTGGGGTCCTCATGGGAGGAGGTCAGGACTTGCAGAGGGAGGATGCAGGGAGGACGCGGGAGGAGGCCCCATCATCTGCAAGCCCAGGGGAGAGGCCTTGGGCGGAGCCGGCCCTGGGACACCTTGGCCTGGGAACTCGACAGGCCAGGGGGGAGAGAGGCGCACCCCAGCTAGGCAGGGAGGGGTTCCCTCCAGACAGGCTTCTGTGTCAGTGAAAGCAAAACCATGAGGGTCCCACTGAGGGAGGTGAGTCCCCGTCTCCTGAGACCCACTGACCTCTCTGAGGGCCACTCATCACCCAAGCCTGGAGCTGGGGTGGGTGGGCTTGCCCCAGGGCTCAGTCACCCCTGCGTGGCCTCATCAGTGTCCTTGGGCCGCTCTGAATCAGCCACGGTCCCGAGCAGCTCCAGGGGCAGCGTTTTCTGCCACTGCCAGCCGTGTCTGGAGCTGCCCAGCCCTCCAGCCACCTGTCCCTGGGCCTCTGCTGCTGCCCAGGGCACCCCACCATTCCCTGCGACAGCTGCAGGGGGGAGGGGAGAGGAGCAAGTGGCCTTCCCGAGGAGTAGGACTGAGCCAGGGCGGGGCCCAACGGCGGTGGTCCTCAAACTGCAACGTCAGCAAACCCCAAGCACGCCCAATGTTCTGGGGCACTCTGTAAGGCCATGGGGGCCATGGCTTCTTGCCTGGGGCTCCCTGCTGACCTGGTGGTGGCCCCAGAGGGAGGCGGCAGCACCAACACTCAGTGGCCATGGCTGTGCTCACTGGGCATTGCCCCATTCACCTGTCAATAGCTGTCTGCCGCCACTCCCGCGTCACAGGTGAGAACACTGAGGCGGAAAGAAGGAATGGCTTGCTTACAAGGACAGAACAGGTGGCTGATGGGTCAGGGACCAGGTGGTGTGGGGCCATGGAAGTCGCTAGTGATGATGAAGTTGATGGTGGTGGTAATGTGGGTGGTGGGGGTGGCGGAAGTGGAGGTGACAATGGTAGTGGTTGAGGTGGATGTGGAAGCGGAGGAGGTGATGGTGGTGATTGACATGGTGGAGTTAACAATGGTGGGGGTGGGGGTGGGGGCAGAGGTGATGGTGCTGGTGACAGCGGCAGGGGTGGAGGTGGAGGTGGTGGTGGAGGTGATGGTGACAGTGGGAGAAGTAGAGGTGGAGGTGACGATGGTGGAGGTAATGGTGGCAGAGGTGACGGTAGTGATTAAGGTGAGAATGGTGGAGGTGAAGATGGAGGTGAAGGTGACAGTGGTGATGGTGATAGTGCTAGAGGTGGAGGTGAAGATGGAGGTGGAGGTGACAGTGGTGATGGTGATAGTGCTAGAGGTTGAGGTGAACGATTGGAGGTGGACGGTGAACAGTGGTGATGGTGATAGTGGTAGAGGTGGAGGTGATGGTAGTGATTGAGGTGAGGATGGTGGAGGTGGAGGTGAAGGTGACAGTGTGATGTGATAGTGCTAAAGGTGGGAGGTTGAACATGGAGCGTGAAGGTGACAGTGGTGATGGTGATAGTGCTAGAGGTGGAGGTGAAGATGGAGGTGAAGGTGACAGTGGTGATGGTGATAGTGCTAGAGGTGGAGGTGATGATAGAGGTGGAGGTGACAGTGGTGATGGTGACGGAGTTAGTGGCAGAGGTGGAGGTGACAGTGGTGATGGTGTCAGTGGCAGAGGTGGAGGTCCTGGCTGTGGTTTGTGGGGCCAGCTGATGGTGATGACCACAATAGACAGTGTGGGGGCTGGGTTGTTAGTGAAGACGGGATGGGATTGAGGTGGGGAGGAGAGAAGCCACAGTCTAAGACCAGGGCAGGGACCTGGGTGGCTTGCTGTCCCCCCCTCAAGGCTGGGGACTGTCAGGTGGAGTGACCCCTGTGCCAGCCAAGGCTTTGGTGCCATTCATGAATGTCGGGAAGAGGTGGGACCAGTGTGTGGGGCTGGGGAAGTGGCGGGGAGGGAGGGCTGAAGCCACTTCAAAGCTGGCAGCTCCTGGTGGCCGCATCCACACCGCGGGCTCACACACCCGCTCTTCAGATGTGACCTCGCACCCTGACATGCCTCTGTTTTGCATGGCCCTGCCTGGTGCTGTCTCTCTGCTGTCCACTCAGAGACTCCTGAGAGGTCACTCTTCCTGGGACAGCTCCTGCACCAGTGTCAGCCCCTCATCCTCCTCTGGCCCTGACCTTGTTGACCTGCTCTGCCACCGCCCCAAAGGCTGCCCAGGCCTTGGACAGGGCTGGGGTCATGTGCCCAGCACTGGGACACGCAGCGGAGATTCCTGGAATGCGTGGACATCTTGGCTCTGGGACTGTGGGCCAGTTCTGGGCCCTTCCACGTGCCATAATTCACTGGCGGGCCAAGGGATCAGGCTGGACGGCCCCAGCAGGGTGCCAGGAGGCCTCTGTACCAGCAGTGGGGCTGACTGACGGCTCAGCGGCAGCTCTGGCGGCCAGAGTGTGAGCATAGCTTGGCGGAGCTGGGCAGGCTGGAGGAGCCCCAAGAAGCCCCCTCCCTCCAGGGCACTGGAGACCACCCTCCTCCCCTGCCTGGATGCCATGGCAACCGCCTCCTCCCCCCTCCCCCCTGGTTGGGAAGGTTGGGCTGAGTCACAGTCTCCACTGGGAACATGACAGGGCCGCCCTGCAGGACAGGGCTCTGGTCCAGGCTCAGTGGGAGGCAGGGCGGGGAGGTGGGAGGGCTGGCGAGGGGCCAGGCTCCCTCCCAGAGCAGGGACACGCACGCACGGGGCGCCGCAGGCCCTTCCAGCACCAGCTCAGCCTAACCCCTGGGGCCTTTTGCAAGTGCAGCCCCCTCCCCGCCCCGAGCCTGGGGTTCATGTGGTCCTTCCCAAGCCGAGAGGACACTCTGGAGAAGCTCCCAGACACACAGGCCATTCCGCCCCACCTGCCCCACGGCCTGGTGAGAAAGGTGAGCTCAGGGCAGCTCGGGCAGATAGGTGGGGGGCGGGAGTGCCCGTCAGCCAGAGCCCATGATGGCTGGCCCAGGGCTCTCTCTAGAAATCTCTGCACCTCACCTTTCCCCCAGGGGGCCAAGCCTGCGTGGCCACCCACTAGGGAGGAGGGCCGAGGGTGCAGGCGGTAGGGAGGAGAGACACAGCTAGGCCTTGCCCACCTCTAGCCCAAGCCGGGTCTCTAGGGGACCAGTCCCACCCAGGCTGTGGGGTGTGACTGGTTTCGGGGCTGGAGACAGGGGCTGCGATGGGGCCCACAGAATCAGGAAGGCTCAGCTCTGAGACCTGGGCCTGGGGCCACCCTGCTCAGGGCTCAGCAGGGGTCCTCCAGGGCTCTGCGTCCTCCCCAGGGCCAGAAGCCACTGCAGCAATGCCTCCCTGGGACGCCCCTTCCCCAAACTCCAGGGTGACAAACTCCAGTGCCACCTGCCTGGTCCAGCCCACCGCCACCCCCCTCCCTTCTGGCCAGCCCTCTTCTGCCCCCAGAAGCCCAGACCAGCAGCGCCACGCTGCGGCGGGCGCACACCTGGAGACAGGAAGCACGGCCTTCCCAGGAAGGGTCACAGCCATCTCCACCTGGGGTGGGCTTTATTTCCACTGTGGTCACGGCGTGAAAACAGGAAGACAGCACTCATTTCCATGACTGTCATGGCTACAGCAGGTGGGTCCGTGCAAATGAGACCCTCCCGCCAAACGCTAAGCACAGATAGCTGTCCTCTGGGGTCACCAGAACCACCCTCCAACCCCCCAGGGGCAGGGCAGCAGCGAGACTGGGGCGGGGGGGGGGGATGGGGGGGGCTGGGCCAGCCCTGATGATTGGTCAGTGTCTCGTACACGTGCACGCGTACACATTCCATCTGAACCGTGGCGGTTACTAAATTAAAACTGACCACTTCTCGTTACATTAACTTCACAGTAACTGTGTGCAGAAAGCAGACTCCAGTGTTGATAACCCAGGGCAGGCTTCCCTGCCCGGGAAAGGGAAGTTCTTCCCCAACGACGAGAACCGCGGCGGGTGGGCAGGGCCACATCTCCCTGCAGGCTCATCTGCAGGGGTCCGGCCCCGCTGCGGGCAGCACAGACAGACACAGACACACACACTCACGGAAACCCCGGTCAAGGAGCATATCACACGGGGTGCAAAGTCCCACCGGCCCTGCCCTAGGCGGGGGTCGAGGTCAGGACAGCCAGAGCAGGGGCCCCTCCCCAGCCAGATGGGGCATCTCCACCGAGCGTCTCCGGGAAGCGCTGGGCTCCCAGCTGGCCGCCTGCACACCTGGGGAGTCCGGCACCCGGGAATGAACCCTGGAAGTGTCCACCTGCTGCAGGCCACGTGTCCTTCTACTCCAGACGAGGCAGACGTAGAAACACGACATCAAGTGTCAGGAGAAGAGAAAATAACTTAGGCTTGGCCAGACTCTGTCCTCTGTGCCGTTCCCAGTCACAGCGGACACACCCAGGGGGTGTGGGGAAAACACCTGCTGACCCCCAGAAGCCGGGGCCAGCCCCCCCCTCCCCTGGCCCTCACCTGCCCGAGCCAACGCCAGTGCCAGTGAGGTCCCCTGGCAGGATTTGCTTGGTGAGTGGGTGGGGAAGCAGGGGGCCGGAACCAACTGCAAACGCAAAGCCTGGCCGTTCACGTTCCGGGAGTGCCAGCCCCCCTCCCCACTGCACAGCCACTGTCACTCGCATCCCCTCCCATGGCCACGGGAAGCCATGCAAACATTGCTGCTGGCAGACTGTGGCCCCTGCCCGGGGCTCTGAAAATGACCACAGCTCCGGAGAGACCCCTAGGCCCACCTGGCCCAGCAACAGTCTGCAACACACAGAGCCTGGCTCAGGGTGGGGGCTGCCGTCGTCTCCCCCCCTGCCCTGCCTCACCCCTGCCACCTCCAGAGACACTCAGAGGCCCCCAGACCCACGCTAAGGCTAGAGGGCAGCACAGCCCCACCAGCAGACACCTGGCAACCTCGGGGATCCTCTTTCTGGGTCTAAAGGGAAGCCATTTCCAAATTCCCACTTTCTCTGCCCAAAGGTACAGTGCAGTCAGGACCCAGGTCCCACCCCAGTGAGGGTAGCTCCAGGGCCACTCAGCCTCTAGTTGGCTCCACTCCTGCTGTCTGGGATCCCCACTGGGGCTGCACCCCCCTGTGACACCAGCTGTGCCCAGATGGCCCCTCCTGGCACTCTTCCTGCCCTAGGCCTTCCCAGCAGGGGTTCCTGCTGCCACCCACCAGGAGTGGCCTGTTCCCTTTGAGCGCCCCATTGGGACTCACACTAAGAACTTTTCTGACGCAAGAATCATTCACCTAGCATGGGGCCAGGCTCAATATGACAGAGAGGTGGTAAGGAACGTCCTGGACACAAGACAAATGTGCCGCCCCACACCCAGGGACCTGGGCAGAAGCCAGGTGCCCGCTGGACACCCTGGGAACTTGGCTGGAGGGGAGGGTGAGAGGAAGACGGTGGCAGTCTGGGCAGGGCACAGCCTGGGGGCAGGAGTGAGCTGGAGTGGGGGGAGGGGAGGCAAAGCAGGAGGAAGGCTGCCAAAGTCATCCTGACCCACGTTCCGGAAGCGGCAGTGTGCCTTGTGCAGCGAGGGTCCAGCCTCAGAGGCCCCCACCTGGTCCATTCCAGTGTACCACCTGCCCTGCCCCTTCCCTTCCGCGCCACCCCCAGGACCCACAGGGACACATCACACCAGCAGGGACTTCACGAGGCCACAGTGGAACTTGCGGACGTGACGGTACAGGTCTCCAGACTGCGTGAACCGGCGCTCGCACCAGCGGCAGGCGTGGGGCTTCTCCCGAGTGTGCACCACCGCGTGCCGGCTCAGGTTGTGCGAGTACTGGAAGCTCTTGCCGCACTGCACGCAGGTGTAGGGCTTCTCGCCCGAGTGTGTCCGCTCGTGCCTCTTCAGCGTGTATGTGCACGAGAAGGTCTTCCTGCACAGCGGGCACGTGGGCACGGTGCCGTTGGGCGAGAGCCGGGTCCGAGGGCCGTCCCGCTCACGGAAGTGGGCGCTGAGGTGCGGCTGCAGCACGTGGGGGCTGGGGAACAGCTTGCTACACAGGGGGCAGATGCAGAGGTGCCCCCCAGGCTCCAGCTCACCCTCACTCGCCACCCGCTCTGCATCCAGCTCCAGCTCCCGGCTGCTACTGACGGGCAGTGGCTCCAAGCCCTCTGCCAGGCCCTTGGCTGCAGGAACACAAGGTGGCTTCAGGGGGCTGTGGGGGGTCCTGGGGCTGCCGCTGTCCTGTTCGGACCGTGAGTCCTGCTCGTCCTTCACCAGTGGCCGGGGTCCTTGCTGCAGCCGGCTGCAGAGGGGTGTCTGGAGGACACAGGGTGGGTGGACCACCTCCTGCCTTTGGCTGGGCTTCAGGGACAGGTCCAGGGCCTGGTCTGACTCTCCTGGGACCTGCCAGGGAGGAGGCCCGGATGCTTGCAGAGGGAGGGCAGCCTTGACCCCAACCCCAGGGAGCTTGGTCTTCTGGGCGGCTGGGCAGAGGTCAGGAGTCCAGGCAGGCCAGGGACATGGTGGCTGACAAGGTCGCTCCGTGCGAGGGGCAGGGGTCTCCAGGTCCAGCTTTCGGTCCTTGTCCCTGAGCCTGCCCTTGCAGACCTTGACGATGTCATACATGTGCAGGTAGCTGGCGGCGGCTAGCACGTCCTCGACAGGCAGGCTGCGCAGGTCCAGGCGGCCCTCGTACATGAAGTCTAGCAGACGGCCGAAGGCGGGCGCCGTGACGATGTCGCCGTTGAGCCGCACTGTGTCGCGGCTGCCCGCGGGCCGGTCCCTGTAGAAGAGATGGAAGTAGACGCTGCACGCGGCCAGCACGGCGCGGTGGGCCGGGAAGCGCGCGTCGCCCACCAGCACGGTGCAGTCGCACAGGAAGCCCAGCTCGCGCTGCTGCCTCAGGCGGCCCAGCAGCCGCCCGCCGTGCTCGGGGAACTCCATGCCGCCGCCGTCATCACCTGGGCACAAACGGGACGCCCGTCAGCGCGCCTGGAGCGCCCGCGAAGCGCCTTGCCCCGCGCAGGCAGCGCGAAAGAGCGGCGCGGGGGGCCGCGCGTAACCGCCGCCTGGAGCCGCCCTGGGCACCTGCCCCGAGCAGGAAAAACTCGATCGAAAGTAAACAGAAGCCGATGCGCCGCGGGGGCGGGTCCGGGGCGCGGGCAGAGGGGCCGGAGCCGCGCGAACCTGCGCGCGTCCCCGCCCGGGCGCCCCCGAACTTCACTCCTGGGCCGCCGCCGCCCGCCCGGCGAGACCCCCGACGCCCCAGTGGCTGCGCTGCCGCCGCCGCCGCCCGCCCGCGCCTCCGCGCCGCCTCCAGCGTGCCGCCCGGCCGCCCAGATGCCGCCGCCGCCGGCCCCATTTATGGCAGCGCGGCCGCGGGGAGCGGGCCGGCGGGCGGGCGGGCGGAGCGGGGAGCCGCCCCCCGCGCTCACCTCCGCCGCCCGAGCTCCTCTCGGTCTGCGCCTTCCTCGCGCGCCCTCCCGGGGCGGCCCCGGCGGGCACCGAGCTGCGGGCAGCGCGCCCCGCGGGGGAGGCGCGGCACCGGGAGGGCGCCGGGGCCGCCGCAACTTGACCGGCCCGGCGCCGCCCGCCGCGCGCCCCGCCCCGCGGAGAGCGAAACTCGGGCGGGGGCTGGAGGGGGCGGGCCGAGGCGACTTCCCGGAGTGGCGGAACCGCTGAGGTCACCCTCGCCACCCCTTCCCTGCTGGCCCGGCCCCTCGCGCCGACAGCGGGGGCGCTGGGGTGGGAGCGGGCTTTGGGGCTCAGCGCAGGGGCTGGGGGGGGTCTCTCGCGATACTTGCCAACTCGGCCTTGGTGCCTCCCCGGTGGGGTCCCAACTGCGCCCGTCTGCAGAGACCCCTTCAGAGGGCCCGCTCCCACCCAGGCCTGCGCTGGGGCAGTCACCCGAAGGCACAGCGGGACCCGGCCTCCTGCCACCTAGCAGGTCGCCGGCCCGAGGATGGGGAGGGGAGCATGGGTGGGATCGTAAATTTTGGAAAAAAACGACGTCTCCTTTTTCCTTGAATGCCTTCTTTTGACTTTAATTCAGCTAGGACCCCCTTCCAAATACTCAAGCGGGGTCTCGACCTCGGAGCCCTGACGGGGGGACTCGCCCTCTCCCAGCAGAGCCCAGCCCAGCGTGGACGGGGACCAGCGCTCTGAGCTGCTGCCCGGCTCGGAGCACAGGGCATGTCCCACCTGAGCCGGCGGGGTGGGGGACACATGTGGCACTGGAGGGAGGCGGAAGCCCTCCAGAGCCCGGGGCAGGCTGGAAAGTGTTCAAAGAGGAGGAGACAGCCAAGAAGGGCCAGGACCGGTGTCCTGGGCAGGGTGTTCCGGGAGGAGCAGCGGCATGAAGGTGTGAGAAGGGACACCTCGTTCTGGGAGAAGGAAATGGAAACAGAACGATGAGCCTGGCAGGGTTGGGGGTCCCTGTGGGGGGCGGGGTCGCACTGCTGGCTCGGCGCGAGCCTTTTTCCAGGGCAAGACCAAAGGGGCTGCCCTTGGCCGAGCAGGTCCGAAGGCACTTTGGACCAGCACCGGGATCATCTTCACAATGACCCCGTTAACCAGATGCTCTTACTTTTATCCCTTTTGGGCGAGGGAGGTTAGAGTAGGTGCCCAGGGCTGCACGACCGGAGGCCAGTCTCTCCTTCCGCACTGCCTGGAGCAGGGAGAGGGAGGATGTGGGGGTGGAGGGGCCCAGGGCGGGTGCGGTGGGCTGGGGGCAGAAAGGAGGCGTTGACCCGGGATTGGGGGGTCTGCAGGAGGGGCTGGATTACAAGGAGTAGGTCCCTGGCCAGGTGTGTCTGGCCCGGAGTAGCGGAGCCCACCGCAGTTACATCTGAAGTCTGTGGGAAGGAAAGCCGCATTGTTGCACTAAAAAATTATTCCTTGTTTGACCGGATGTCCTGCATTTTTATGTCCTCAGTCTGGCAACTGCAGCTTGGAACTGTGGAATCACACTGCACTCACAGCCACTCGGACCGGCCGAGGGACAGCGGAGCCCTGGCTCCCCTGGATGGCCGTCCACTCTGAGGACCCTCGGGAGGCTCAGCACCCCTTCCGCTGCCCATTTAAATAATCACCTCCTTCTCCCCAGCCCCCACCAGGAATGGCTGCATTTAAGTAAGTTCAAGGTGAACTCTGAGGGACTGCCCCTTTCCCCTTCCGGCCCTCCCTGGGTCAGAGCCCTGCCCCTCCCCCCCCAGCCTTGAGCTCCACCAACCCCTGACCTCTTTGAACCTTAATAACTCTCATCTGCAAAATGGGGATCTGAGTGCTTCCCGGGTCTACGTGAAAATTAACCGCAGGGCCTGGCACTCAGGGATCTCAGGGCCTTTGCATTGCTGGCCACTCACGTTCTGGAATGTTCTCCAAAAAGCCCTTCATTGGCTCCTCTTCATCCCTGTTTCTGCCCAATGTTACCTCCTCAGCCAGGGTGGCGTTTCCTGAGCAGCTAGCAAAGATCCCCCCACCCCCGCCCGTCCTCCTCTCCTGCCTGAGCCAGTGGGCGGTGCTCCCCATGTCTGTTGAGTGAGTGCAAGACGGTGGCTTCTGTGAGGCATGGGTGCTGCTTCCACCATCCCTCCAGCACTGCTTCCTTCGCCCAGCCCGAGGAGCACCTGAGGCAGGGGAAGGGCAGTCCTTGCAGTGGCTCTCCCTGACGGGGCAGCAGCCCCCACGCAGGCTGGGGTGCGTGCCCTGCCTGCTGGCGGACAGAGCAAGCCCTGGGCACTCGATAGAGGTTGTGGTGCAGGGAGGGTCGGGACGCTGCCTGCAGGAGCTGGGGTAAGATCTGGAAGGTCCAGCTAGGGATGGGCCAGAGGAGGGGGAGGGGACAGTGGGAGCAACATCTGAGTTCCAGTCACTCCTGCCCCAACGCTCTGGGACGGGGTGTCCCAGGAAGCCCCACCAGCCTGCAGCCCTCAGACACCCTCGGCACTGGCTCCATCTCAGGCGCAGGGATGACAGGAGGCTGTCACAGAGCCACAGTCGTGGTGGCGCGGCGGCCATCTGGCCTGGGAGCTGCCCCAAGGCCCAGCCCCACAGCTGCTACTGAGACCACGCAGCCCTGGGCCCTTGAGTCCTGCCCCATGGCCGGCAGCTGCGGGAGGTGACAGGGTGAGAGGCCCCTGGAGGGGACAGGTGGTACCCTCCTTGGGGCCGGGTGCAGCAGTTTTTGCTGGAAACACCTGGCCATAGAGTCCCCAAAGTGACCGTTCCATGAGGGTGGGGTGGGGCTGGATGGGAGGGGTGTGTTCTCGAAGAGAGGGCTCTGCTTTCCCCGCAGGAAGCCCGAGGAGAGGGGGCTGGCCTGTCCACCAGGAGACCCCAGTCTTGAGGGATGGCACAGACATAAGACAGGACTGGGTGTGGGGCCCACAGCAGGTCATGGCTCCAGCCAGTCCCAGAGCATCAGGCCATGGCGGGGAGGGGGGGGGGCCAGGGGAGTACCTGTAAGCCGGGAGGTTTGGACCCCTGTGAGAACAGCCTGGGAACCACTGCCTCTCCTGAGGGCGGGCACCACTCGCTGGCCACCCTGCCCCGAGCCCCTCTGGCCCTTGGCTTCCTCCGCAAATTCCCTCTACCTTCTCCATAGTATGACCAAGCCCAGGATGGGGGTGGGTACAGGGGACTCTTCCTGGGGAGCCATGGGCAGGTGGGACGGGCCCAGAGGAGCCCACAGGTGGCCCATGGCGAAGGTTTGCTGGGAGAGTGATGAAGGTTTGCTGGGAGAGTGATGGACAGACGTCCAGGCTCTGGGGTCAGCCATCCAGTCCACACGGCACAAACCAGCTGGGTCTCTGACTTGGCCCCCTTGGGTCAGGGCCCTGCCTGGGGTCACAGAGTCCGAGCTGGAACAGCTATGCTTGGGGGCGGGTGGGGGGCTTGGGCAGAGGTGCCCATGGGAGAGACAAGAACTAAGAGTCCCCCTCCCAAGGCTCGAGTGCTCCTGTGCAAGGGGGCAGAGTCCTCTGGGAGTGTCCTTCTCTTGGTCCACCAAGAGGCAGGGATGGAGTCCCAATTTTGGCTGCAGACTGTCCTGGGGCTCCGTTGGGCTGAACCTGCTTCTGTCTACATGCTCCCCACCCCCTGACCCTGACCCCCCTTCTGTGCCTCAGATGAGCTTCGGCTCTGGATAAAAACAAAATACCCATCCCCCCTCAAAATACTTACCAACCCCAGGAAGGTAACTCATAAGTCTTTCTCTTACAAAAGGGTTATCAGCCCTGGGCCTTGGGGGTGGGGGAGGGGCAGTTGGAGTAACTTCTGGCTCTGGCCCAAGGGCCACCTCCCAGGGAGGGGTTTGGGGTGGGTGTCACCTGCAATGTCCCCTGAATCTGCAGGGGAAGGGGTTTGCATCCCACTCAGAGGAGGCCACTCTCTCCCAGGGACTGCAGGCTGGGTGCCTGGTGCCCACCTGCGTCCAGCAGGGAGGGTCCTGGGCTTTTCCAGCAGTCACAGCCCTTCCCTTGAGTCTGACACCCCCGCACCCCAACAGGCAAACACAGTTCCTCCTCTGGGTGCCTGCGCCCCGCTCAGCGTTCCCCCAGAGGGCTGCCCCGTGCTCCCCGAGGCCACTCTGCCTTAGGGGCCCGCTCACACCCCGCCCCACTGCGCCGTGGGCTGGCACATTCACAGGGGCACATTCTGAAAGTCTCACCTACCCCTCCCAAAGTCGCCAGAAGTCTGGGATTGTCCTAGACTGGTCTCCGGCCCATTCTACTAGGGTCACCGAAGAGCTAGGCCCAGGAGGGCAAGATCGCTTTCCAAAAGGGGAGACTGAGGCCAGAGAGGACGTGGCCCCGGGACGGGCAGGACGGCGGTCCAGTGGCCCCGTTGGTGGCCCGGCCCCGGCCCGGGCCCCGAGGCCGCCCTTGCCCGCCGCGCGCTGGGGCCCGGGCGGCGGAGGCGTATCGTGGGCGGCGCTCGGGCGCGGGCGCGGCGCGGGGGGGAGAGGCGCGGCCGCGGCGCGGACCGAGCGCGCGGCGGCGCGGCCCAGCGCAGCCAGCGCGGCCGGAGGACGGTAGCAGGCGGCGAGCACCGAGCGCGGGCCCGGACAGCGGGGCGTCGGCACGCGCCGGGCCCCAGCAGCGCGCGCCCGCCGCGGCTCCAGCCGGCCCCGCGCAGCGCCGGCCGCGGGATGCCGAGCGGCGGCGCCGGAGGCCGCGCCGGCTAGGCCCGCGCTCGCGCCGGACGCGGGGCCC